TGCTAGGATAAGAGATTTTTAAGAAGCTCTAGATCACTTAATACTAAGTCAATTAAAATACATTCAGCATTTTCTTTTTATAGTCACTGATTTCATTTTCAGAATGAAATTCATTTTGTTCTCTAAGTCAGCAATGTGAAAAGAAAAGAAACTATAAATTTGTCATTCTTGTATATTCTGATTTAGAGGAAATGAAAGCTTTTCTTTTTTTTCTCTCTTCTTTTATTTATTTATTTTTTAGAGACAAGGTCTCCCTCTGTCACCCAGGCTGCGGTGCAGTGGCACTATCATAGCTCGCTGCAGCCTCAAAATCCTCGGGTCAAGTGATCCTCCTACCTCTGGAGTAGCTGGGACTACAGGCCCTGCCACCACACCTGGCCATCTTTTCTTCCTTTTTTTTTTTTTTTTGTTGAGACAGAGTGTCACTTATTGTCCCTGGGTAGAGTGCAGTGACTGTAAGCTCACCACAAGCTCCAAGTCCTGGGCTGTGAGCGATCCTTCTGCCTCAACCTCCTGGGTAGCTGGGACTACAGGCACGCGCCACGACGCCAGGCTGGGTTTTGTGGTTTTGTGAGGTTTTTTTTTATTCAGTGGAGACGGGGTCTCACTGTGCTCAGGTTCATGTCAAATCCCTGAGCTACAGTGATCCTCCCGCCTCAGCCTCCCAGAAAGCTAGGATTAACAAGTGTGAGCCACCGTGCCCGGCCTATCTTTTCTTTCTTTAATAAAGTATTTAACAAAGAAAATAAAACAGCTGCGCCCTTTAAGAGTTGGTATACAGTTTCCCATCTTTAAAATACCATTCGTAGTCCTATCAGAGAAAGCTGCAGGGTCATTACGAATGATGACTAATGTCAGATGGTGAGAAAATTGGAACTATTTTATCAGTGGCAAATTTAGTCTGGGTTGAGTTATGGTATAAAGTGGGCAAGCTTGTGTGAAAACACATCATGTGCTTCTGCTTATTAAGCTTTGCATTTCTGTTGTAAAATTGAAACTATACAAAATGTGAAGTCTTAAGTATGGTTTTGGGTTTTTTTTTTTTTTTTTTTCATCTTAGGGAAGGAAAATGTTAATTACAAAATTTCCAAGCACAGAGGAACCACATTTACCAACAAAGTATATACCCTTATTCCTAAGATAATTCCCTCTCAATTTCCTTGTTCTATTTATAGATTGAAGCCACTCTTGCTTTCTCTTTGAATATATTTCACTAAAACTTTTAGCTTGTGTTAGTTGTAAAGGTTACAGTAGAAGTGTTTGTTGTGTTAAAAGCAAAGTTCCTTGGTGTAGGAAACCCTTCCTTGCTTCCAACTTTGGAGACGGATCTCTAGATGTTAAAATCAGAGTGTTTTAGCAGAATAAACATTTCAGGCCTCAGATTTTCACACACTAAAAATTCTCATTTCTAGGAAGTTCTCATTATGAGCTATGTCTGTAGCAGCCCCAGGCAGAAAGGGATTATGTCCCTATATTGAATTAACTCAAATGAATTCATCCATATGAAAAAGTCTTTTGTCTTAAATTTTAGCATGGTACTTATGTTTCCTCACAAAGACTAGAAAGCATCTTCAAAATGCCCTGGTTTCTCCTTTCTGCAATATTTCTGTGAAATGGCCTCAGTTGACTCAGGAAGAAAGTGAGGCACTTAGTAAGGCAGGCATTAGACTCTTGC